CACTTCAAAATAAAGTATTCATGCATTAATTTCATAATCCCAAATTTCAATTTTTTTAGTTTACCCGTTCAAAAAATAAAAGGGGGGGCTATTAAAGAAATGCACTGTATGTTTTATTTCATGCAATGAGAAAAAGTGGGAAAAATAATTATAAACCGTGCATATTTTCATGGAAAACTGGCCAATTTTTTCCGCATCGAATGAGGTTTAAAGCACGATATCCATATAAGCATCCACTTTTTTTGGCAAAAGCAACTACGAGTATATAATTGAAAATCATTTGTGTCCCACAGTTGCGGCTTCTAATAAGATACTTAAAAACTGTGAAAAAACGATATCCCTATAAGCATCCACTTTTTTTGGCAAAAGCAACTACGAGTATTTAATTGAAAATCATTTGTGTCCCACAGTTGCGGCTTCTAATAAGATACTTAAAAACTGTGAAAAAATCGGAAATTCGGAAAATCTCTCGGAAAAAATAAACATTCTCTCAGAATATTTGTTGTCTTTGTGTCAAACCGACTCCAGGATTTAAAAATCTGATTTCGGTTTCTATTAAATTTTGATGAATGAAATACTTCAAGCTTTTCAATATTTTTTCAACCTGTCATTAGAATCATAATAGGTACTGTTTCGTTGACTCTTAAATGTATTTGATAATCTCTGTTAGTTCAGTCAATAATTACTTATGGATGGTGTCGCCACCAACAATCTAGTTGGCATTATTCATTTCCACTTCTGATAAACAAAATACTACCAAGCCTTCATTGCTTCAAACTACACCATATAAATCCGAGCTAACCTTATGATTGTAAAATTGACATTGACAAGCCTATATTCTCACCTAAGATTACATCTGAATCGACACATTTCCATAAATTAGCACTTAGTAAATCTCATCTATTCGAAAACTTTTTTTGCAAATTACGATAAAAATAAACAACATTCATTCTAACGGAAGTAGATATGATTAATTTTCGTGTAATTTTTTTGGCTAGATGCCACATAATCGCAGTTCTCCAAATATAAGTGTTTTTGAACAGTTAAGTTCTAGCTGTACTGAGTTGAACCTCAAAACGATGAGCAGCCACAATCTGTCGCGTACTTCTGATATGTACCGCTCTTCGTGGTTATTTCTTTTGTGGCGATTGAGATACCAGCCAGTTCTGTTTGGACCACGCTGGTATTTTTTCTCATTCCCCACCTAATCCTTAGGCTCAGTGATCTGGAGTACACTCCACATCCTGAGATATCACAGCTTGAAGTAGACTCAAAACAAGGGACAAAACTGTTGAAACAACCAATAGTTCCACAGCGTAGTGAAGATGCATTATGATCATGTAAATTCATCCGTCATCGTGTCATTATAATTTATGATGAGGAGCCAATATTTGATTAGCAACTTGTTCACATTTATAGCTACCATAAACACTCTGAAGTACTATTCAAATATGATGAAGTCACCATTCGAGTAATGTTAAATAGTTCAAATCCGATAAACTCGGCATTCGTTGTGAAGGTTAACTAAAACTAATTTATTGCAAACAAACCGCAAAACAAGTATCTGCACGAGAACCAACTTTTTCATTGGCTGAATCATAAAGATTAAAATAATCGCCACACTTTATGTTTATGACATATCTTTCGACCTCACCGAGAGGAGAATTGAAAGAATCAACATTCTTACGCATGGAAAAGGTGATCCACTTTTCAATCGAATCATGTGTAACGATGTGTGTTCCGCGAACTAAATCTGCAAGTTGAAATCTGTGTTAGATCAGACGAGGAAAATGTTTCCGTTTCGCACCTTCTTTAGTGGTATTTAATACGAGGAACAAATCATCGCGCGTCGTTCTTTGAAGTAGTTCGAATAGGTCCATGGTCCAGTCATCTTAATCAAAATTAGGTAAGTATCTCAGATACCCAGCTATAAACTCGTATAAACTTGTATATTGACATCCTAAAAGTTGTCTCAAAACCTACTTATGGCAGGGTATACGCAACTATTGAATTCTAAGACGATTTTTTGTGACCTTTCACCTGGGATTTTGATAGTTTACAGGAGTTTATAGCTGGGTATCTGAAATTCCGAGTTGAACTTACTAAGATGACTGGACTATCACAACCGCACGGTCGGTGGTAGTACATTGTTAAGTCTCTTTCAGTGATGCGTTCAAGGTTCGAGTTTTCTTGCGAAGTTTCCTGAGAGTCAGTTCCATGAAAGATCACTGTCGTTTTTGTAGACGAAAGCCTGAAAAAGCTGTTGTATAGAGGCGTATCTATACACGCCGGAAGAAGCTATTGTTTAGCGGTGTGTCTATACACGCCTTGAGAACCTATTGTATAGCGGCGTGTCGTTACACGGCGCATCTACAAACGCAGCTGAAGAAGCTTTTGTATAACGGCGTGTCTATACAAGCTTGAAAAAGCTATTGTATAGGGGTGCATCTATAAACGCAACTGAAGAAGCTATTGTGTTGCGGCGTATCTAGACACGTCTAGAGAAGCTATTGTATAGCGGCGTGTCGTTACACGGCGCATCTACAAACGCAGCTGAAGAAGCTATTGTGTAGCGGCGTATCTATACACGCCTGGAGAAGCTATTGTATAGCGGCGTGTCGTTATATGGTGCATCTACAAACGCAGCTGAAGAAGTTTTTGCATAGCGGCGTGTCTATACGCGCCTGAAGAAGCTATTATATAGCGACGTGTCGTTACACGGCGCATCTACAAACGCAGCTGAAGAAGCTTGTGTATAGCGGCGTGTCGTTACACGGCGCACCTACAAACGCAGCTGAAAAAGTTTTTGTATAACGGCGTGTCTATACAAGCTTGAAAAAGCTATTGTATAGGGGAGCATCTACAAACGCAGCTGAAGAAGCTATTGTGTAGCGGCGTATCTATAAACGCCTGAAGAAGTT